TCTTTCCCTTTTAATTACAGAGGAATTTACCCACTCTGCAATCCGATTTGGGCAAGTTACACCACTGGAAATAGATATTCTCTACCAACTTGCAGATTTATACAGTGTTACTGGGTAACATAATAATTAATCATTGTGCAATCATTATTTTGCTGTTTTCTGTGTGAACACTACTAATTTTCATCTTAATTTAAAAAAGTTGTATGTTCCATTGTATTTCATTACAGTAATTTATTCAATGTAAACTGACTTTGGTATATGCATGGGCTTTGTAAGTGAACTGAGTACATCAAGCACAATTATTAATTGTCGTATTATAGGTATACATATAAAATAGCAAATTACATTACGGTGGTTCCAAAAGGCTACAATACACTGGTATTACTAACTTTAAGTATTGATGATGTTTTGCGTGGGCCTTTTAACACACGTGAAATGTTAGATAGGAATACCTAGAACTTGTTTAATTTGTGTATTATATCCTTTATTACAAGAACTTGCTTCTGAATAATCCTAACTCCTTTCATCTCCACTTGTGAGCTACAAGAAGAGAATGCCCTTCTAACTCCCAAGGATTCTTCATTGCAGTGTAGCAGACTTCTTAGACATGCATTCAGATATGACAGGTGGTTTTTTTTAAACTCAGGATGTATTCTGTGGGGTGTGGCCAGGAATACTGTATTGAATATGTTTTATGTTTTATCTAACAGTAATTTGCTTTTCTCTGGCTTGTGTAAAGGCGCTTAACTTTGGCAGATATTGAGAGAATAGCACCGCTGGCTGAAGGTGCATTACCTTACAACTTGGCAGAACTCCAGAGGCAGGTAGGTAGAAGTGATATATACAATAAAATTGCTGAAGTTAAGTGAGTGTTTATGTGTACTTGCATATGAAAAATAAGAGTAAAACGCTTTAAACAGATTCCTAACACATGAAGCATGCTGTGTGTATTGCTTTAAGGATGGAAAAGGGGCAGACTACCGAGTATGTGTCTAAACAAGATACTAGATTTCATATTGAAGTGTGGCCTGTTCAGGTATGACCATGTATAGATACTTAGATTCCTTAGTGTGAATACATTTGTTCACTCCTGAAAAAGCCTTTCGTTTTACTAAGTAGTCTAACTCTGTAATTTTATAACATTATATTATTTATTATTATATATTATATAATAATACTGATATTATTTTTAGATAGTAAAATATGAATATTAAATGCAAGGCTTATAAATATGTTCTTTTTTTAAAAATTGGATTAATTGATTGGCTTAACCATTTATCTAAAAGGATCATTGAATTTTACTGTACTTGTTGGTTATCTGACGTAGACAGTAGAAGGGGAATTCAGATTTATTGGGACTGATGATAAGGGTAGAATTAGAAGATGAAAAATATTGGAGTAGAATGTTAAACCCTCTATTTCACTAGACCTTTAGATTCATGTTTTCTAGCTTTGCTTTTGTCATAGCTTCCTTATTATATATATACATATACCACAACAATATGTGTAGTACAGCGTAAGAATCCCAGATTGTGCAGGAAGATTTTGAATATAAATTGGTTTTTACTTTGATGGCTCTTTTCACAACTGTAAGAACTGAAGATATAGGAACAAACATTATGCGGGTGTTTCGCTTATGTTTAGGCTTTCCACCACAGTTATTGAGTACCATGCTGCTCACTTTCAGGAGTATATATTGCAAATTTGTGTTAAAAGCAAATCTAGATTTTGGGGGCTTATCTTCACTATATTTTTGGTTCAACATATAATCTGAGAGGTTTTCTTTTGCAAGCAGATCTGTCTAACTCTAGTTAAGTTATGAATTAAATTTTACCTTAACTTTCATCTAAGGTTGAACCTGGACTACTGCTGATACTGAAGCTTGCAACATAATGGGGCATCTGCTGTGCTGCTAATAGAAATATTCTATTCCATTCTGTTCCATTCCATATATATTCCAGAGAAATCCTTTTTCTGGAGCGTTTTGTAGGGGACTGCTCTCACAAGAGTAGTTCAGGGGGAATTAACTCAACTATTAATAATGTAAAGATAATAATGCACTCAGGAAAATCCTTGGAACAGTTACATAGCAGATTCAGAAAGGAAGACATACATACATGGTGATTACATGGTTGCATAATCATAAAATACAGGGGCCGGTTGCATGTTAGTGTTTATTCTGCAAAACAAAAAAACCCAGGATTTGATCTTAAAAGTTTCTGATGCTTTTGTTTATTTTTACTGTTAGAACTTTATGGGAAATTGCAGTTCTACACAGAGCCGTACATTCTTGAGTTAGCTTTACAAGAGAATACAATAGTGTTCATCTGAACCAGTGCGTTTTGCTCCAAGGATGTCTCCACGTCCCTTTTCCCTCTGTAATATACAAAGGGAGGTAGGATATCTAATTCTTAAAGATCTTGTATGAGCATATCCCAGAGTTCTGACCAAATACATCTTTGTGTACTCAGTAGATAAATTTTTTTTCATCCAGAAGGTTCCCATTTTCTTACAATGTCTAAACAACTCCAATTCTCTCTCTTTCAGTCTGTGTTAGGAGTTTATGGGGTGCCTATCAAGACATCTAAGGGCTCTGATTCCCAAGTGGGCATAGCCTGGCTTGGGCTGGGTTCTGCTCCAGGCTGCCCACACCTCACTTGGTATGCAGACAGCTGAGCTTCTTATGACTCAGCTGCTGAATGGCCACATCTTGCAGCTTAGCGTTTATGGCAATCTGACGCTGGTGATGAGTTGCATTAAAATGCTGCTCCTGAATTGCAGTGATTCAGCAACTGATTCCCAGGTAGCTCAGCCATCTGGACTGTTGGGGCAGGAGGACAGGCAGCTGGCAGCAATAACTTTGTCAGCCATTCCGAAGCTACACTGTCTCCCATAAAGTGAAATTTGGATTCTTTACCATGGTGATGCCAGTGACAGGTAGTACTGCTGCAGGGTGGACTGAGGTGAAGCGGCAGTGCAGTGACAGAATCACCCGTGCCTTGTTCGTCACATGTATGTACTGTATTTGCCAGTGGATGAGGGGTCCCAGGACTCTGAAAATGAAAGCTCGTGTTTACAAAGCCTTTTATTTTTCATCTCACTTTTTATGCATATTGCAAAGAGGTTCCTTTAAGCAATCACATCCACTACAAAATCTAGTATGCATATCAGTGACAGGCAAATCTTGAATTAGTTCAACTGCTATGGTTGAAAATTATCCCATATGGAATATAGCAAGTCTTCCATATGTGGGACTTGGAGTGTATTTTGGTTACTGTTATTACAACAGGTGGATTTGATCATTCAGTTCTCTTTCAAACAAACTGGCCTGGAACACAGCACCTGGTCTGTTCTTAGTGTTACTCCTCTGTTGTCCTTAGATGATTAGACATATCTGAGACAATGAAATAGGTGTCCAAAACCTACTTAATGGTAACAGCCTTCCTGTGGATTCCTCAAGACAGGAACGATAGAATGGATTGATGCAGAAATGTATACACAATGTTTATCCAGACTAATGAGAAATACAGAGTTTTGTAATTACATTCTGAACTGCCAGCTTTGGTTTTAATTGGTGTCTTTGTGGCACTTGCCTTTCTGAGTAGACAAAATACTAACTTGTTTTGTTTTACACTTCCGAATTACCTTTGTAGCTTGACGCTGTTACAAAATGAGCTCATCGATTAAAGTTCCGCTCATCACTAGAACAGAATATACTCTTTTCACGCTCTTGGAGTAACACATTATATTTTCATCCTATTCTACATTCTGTGTTAAGAAAGCACAACAGAAAGCAAAGTAATTTCATTTTCTTTGTTTTATAAGGAACAGTATTTTACTAGACCTTATCCTAAGTTAACCTTATGTTACTTTATTTAACTGTATCAATAAAATGAAAGATATCCCTTTCTGGAAGAGAGAATATTATCCCAGTGAGCTCCAGCTGCCCTTGGAAAATGAAAACAAGTTTGTAATCACTTTATGTGATTTTAAAATTCCTTCTTAAAGGGAAATCTAAATTTTACATAAACTCACTGTATCTTTGTAGATTTCGTGGAAATGGAAATTAGCTTGCTTTCAACCATGTTTACTTTATTGTCAATTTTTTCATTGTGTACGATTTTCTTAAAGCCTAGCAGCTGAATATGCTATGAGGATGACAGCTACAGTAATTTTCTGTTTATAAATATTCATGATTTGAAAGCTATAGCTCTAATTACATTCATTTACATATCCATCTGAACACACAAGTACACTGCAAACTTTGTGGACACTTATTTAATAATATAAAAGTGCCATTTCCTTCACAAAGAATTTGATTTTTAACATCCAGTGACATACTCATTAAGATTAATGTCTGAATGTAATGAGCGGATTTTGATGAGAACTCTGTGGAGCTTAGAAGAAAAAGAATTACCTTAAAACAGCTAAAAGGAAGCAGGTGTGCTAAACTAGGAGAAAACTTTTGTGGAATGAAGAACCAGTCCTGTTTCTAAGCCTTTTTTGGGTAGTATTGTTGCATGTGTGTTTTATTTACATAAATCAAAAGAGTATTTTAGAGATTTTTTTGGTGGTTGTTTTGTTTTCATTGTGATTTTTTTTTTTTTTTTTTTTTTTTAAGATCAGGAAAATTTAGTGTTTTGAGACTAGTGGGGACTTCTTCAGATTTATTGCTTCTATTTGCTTGTAAAGGCAATATGTTTGATTTATGCTTTTTTATGCTGGTCCACATGTGCATTTGATAATTTTGGTGCTACCCAGAATTTCTGTTCTTCTCTGTTAAGCTATATTGTTGGGGGAGGAAAATGTCATGTGAAAGGAAATGGTGGTAGTTGTATCTTTTTCTTCTGTGGAAAAGCTGTATAAAATACAATTCATGGCTTTTTTACAAGTAATGAGCCCATCTTAATCTCGTAGACTTTCATCCTACATTGTGTATATACAGTGTAACATTATGCAATAAAGGCACGGTTTTGCACATCCAATGTAATACCAGTCCAAACAGAGTAGCTTACACTAAGGTACATGCTGTCTTTCTGTGGATGTTCCACTTTCCAGAGCTTCAGTAAGCTGCACGTAACTTAGTTAAGTAGCCTTGGTGAGTTAGCTGTGAAACGTGCATGCCATCATCTTTGTGCAGAATTCATGATGTGCATCAGAGCAAAGCCGCCCGTAGCTGTCTGAGGTCTGTATACATTCCAGCTGTGCTGTCAGGAGTGCATCTGCCAATGGTACAGGGTGCTTTTAAGAAAAGCAGGTTTGTGTTTGGGAGATTGGCTTCAGTATCTGCTTTAAGATGGAATTTAACAGTTAGTATCTTGGCCACTTATATAACCCAGACAGGTTATACTGCATAGTATAAATTCTTTTCTAATCCCCTTATTTACGTTTGGAACAAAAATTTGGCCCATCTTGCATATTTGATAGTGCAAGTTTGTGAACACTTACATCTTGTTTATCAGTTACCTTGTTTCTAATAATAATCATTTAATAATACTGTTATGAATCTCCGCAGATATTTTCTGTGCAGACTTGTATTTATCTAGAACACTAGTACATTTATAGTAGTGTATGCGATTGAAGTGTGTGAGGTCATCATTGTATCTGTAAATTATGAACTGCCTGAAAAAGTCTTGTGGAGAATACTTTGTGGAATAATTGACTTTTTGCTTGTTTTGAAGACATGAAATGTCATGTTTATGCTATGTATTAATGTATATGTAATCTTAAAATATAGCCTATGCTGATAGATGCTGTCTGTGAGATACTGAATTCCTTTTGAGATACTGAATTTTATTTGAGCCAAAAGGGGATTCCACGCCAGACAAATTCAAAAGCAACAGAATGGAAAGTAGCAAAGTTGGTTTGAGCTTCTGTCTGCTTTTTCCTGACCATAGTTGTTTCAGTTATACTAGGAATATGTAAGGAAGAATATTTTCTGAAAGGAGCATTTGAAAAATGTGCTTCATTCATTAGACATAATGGAAGTTACATAGTAATTTCTTTTTTGTTTTTTCCTCTGTAACACAAAGCTACCAATTTTTATCAGATTCTTTCTGTAACGTTACAAAAGCCAATTCACAGGCATCTTTGTTTTCTCATGCAGATTTTCAAGCTTTTTTTACTTTTCTTTTCTTTTCTTCTCTTCACACAGCAAGAGTTTGGAGAATTAGGCAGGCCTATCTGGCTCCAGGTAGCTGAGTCAGCTTACAGGTTCACTTTGGGCTCAGTTGCTGGCGGTGAGTAGTATTTCTGGTTTCTGTTTTCAAGCTTGGATTAGTTTAACACTGTCTTGCCAAACTACTTGGTCTCATCTAAGGTGTATTTCTTGGTTATACATGTGAAGCATTGGAGGGTGGAACCACTTTTGGTTTTGCCATTCCCTTTCTCCTCTTACCACTTCTGTTATAGTATCCCTCCACAGTCCTCTGAAACTCCACTCCAGTAATGAGTTTCCTTACTGGTAATTCAGATTGGTTTTCTTTGTTCTACGCACCTTGTTTTATTCAATAGTGTAAGCCGTTCTCTTTGAGAGTTTTTTCTGGACATTCAGTGTTGCCCTTTCTTACTTCCAACCTATCAGAGACCTTGCCACCTTATGTATTCTTTGTGTTTAAATAAATGTTGTAGAAAATCATCATCATAATTATACACTACACCAACAATGATGTTGCAGAAATAATACTCCAAATGCTTTCTTACAGCTGTTGGTGCTACTGCGGTATATCCCATAGACCTGGTGAAAACTCGTATGCAGAATCAGCGCTCCTCTGGTTCAGTCGTAGGAGAGTTGATGTATAAAAACAGTTTTGACTGCTTTAAAAAGGTTTTGCGTTTTGAAGGCTTTTTTGGTCTTTACAGAGGTAAGTGAATAAACAATAGATATACATCAAGTTGGGGATTTTCTGCCTCTTTTTTTTTTCCTTTTTTTAATACCTCAACAGCTAGTTTCTCATGGGAAAACCAGGAAACTTGATATCATGTACAATTTTGCTTCTGTTTCATACAGCTCAATATTTATCTTTTCTTGAGTAGTGTTCATAAACAATTGCAGGGAAAAAGTCCTAATTTGTGGGGTGTGAGTGTTGTGGACATGATTGTTGTATCACAAACTGAGGATTGTAACTTTTGGCTGGAGGCAAACATCAGGAGCAGATTAGCATCTGAGGAATAAAGATCGATTTTCCTGCAAATATTTTTTGTTAAGAGACAAAAGACAGTAATTTTGAAGTCTGCCTGTTAAACTGGATGCCCGATCTTATGCCTCATACTTTTGCAGGTAGTGGGACTTGTTTTATGATTTTATTCCGTGAACAAGAAATCACATCCTACTGTTGTATTATGTGCTCTATTTTACTTTAAAATATCAACAGTAGAACTCATAAATGTTGTAATTTAAAAAAAGAAGAAAACCTCCTCTAAAATATAGGTTAAGAATTCAAAGCAACTTTTTATCAGTTTTATCAGTTAGGCTGAAAGCTATCTTATATCTTGTTTTAGCTTAGGAGAAGATTCTGAAAGGGTTTTTATCACATCAATAAGGTGACTTACATAGAGGGTACATCCTAGCCAGTCCTCTGAAATGGATATTCAGTTGCATTCTCTTATTTTTATTTGTCATTTGACATAACTTAATGAAGTGCACAATTTTCATAAGGATCAGTAAGGTATTTATCAATTGGCACACTTTTTTTTTTAGTTGGAGCAAAGCCACTCACTTTTATGATGGTCAGTGCCTTTTTTTCTGCTTTGCAATGTGTTCTGTCAATGAAGACACTGGACAGTGTCCTTTAAAGACAGCATCTGAGAAGTTTTTGCATGTGAAGGTCTGTGGATTCTGGCTAAAGAGTTTTTTGTAATCTTGCAGGATTTAGCTATGCAAGTGAGTAGAGGGAAGAATATGTCAGTGAAAATGTTAATGAAATAGCTGTATTCTCTGTAAATTACATTTTACTTGTAAATTGTTTTCCTTTTTTGTTGCTAAATCATTCACAAAAGGAAATACTCCTTGAGTTACATTTATAAGACTATTTCTATGGTGCTGTTCTACAGTATTGTTTTCTTCTCTTCCCACCCACCACCAACCATATAGTTTTGCAGGGCAGCTTCTAAAGCTGATCATTTGTTACGTTTATTTTTGTTTTCTAACCTTTCGCAAAGGCTTTGAAATCAAGGATGATTCCACTGATGAGTTAAAAGCAATGCTTTACACTTGAGAAAAAAATCTGCTTGTTTGAAAGAATGTCAGCTTGTTAAATTTCTTAATAGTCTGTTTAATGATTGTCTTTAAGATTGTTTAGCAAAAGAAGTTCTTGTAGTTGTTTTGAAAATGTTACACTTAATGGTTGTCATGTTACTAAGGTCTTGGACTCCTAGAATTACATGGTCTGTGGAAGTATATTGAACTAAACAACAGAAACATTCATGGAGTTGACTGTGTGTCTGTTACTGGCTTCTTGTATTCCTGAGATGGATTATCCTAATTGTATTTTAATATAACGGTACATGTAGTCGTTTACCACAGTTTAAAAAATAGACCTGAATGCATACTGGAAAGTTCATATTTTTACATGAAAACTTACAATTTTTGGTCAAAAAAGTTATGACACACTTCACACACTTGGCATCCAACTTCAGAACTAATGAGGTATTTTTTAAGGTCCCTCACTAGACCATGCAGGGTCCCAGGTTCTCTGACACACTGAATGTGTGTGCCCAACGAGTTCAGCTGCATAGAAGAAGGGGGGAATTGTCTTGTGGTGTTTTGTCTGGTAGTTTTGGGTTTTTAAAATGTAGGCACTGCAGAGCTGGATTTTCTTTTCATGGTAGACGAGAGATTCAAGCTGGGAGGGCAGCATTTCTTTTTGTTATTGTCAACCTTTCTTTGTATTTAATAACTACCTTTCCTCAGCATAGTAAGTCTGTAAATCGCACAGAAAGTACTATGTTGGAAGAAAACACTACACTGCATATATTAACTGCTGCACTTTCTATTTAGGTACATTTGCTGTGAGCTTCCGTTTAAGGCAGTAGTATAAAAATTCTGCAGGCTGAGTGCTTTTGGCAATTTTGAACATTCTTTATGAATGTTTAGCTATTATTCTTTTCACTTAATGGATAGTGGAAAGCTACATTGATATAGTTTTGTTGTTGTTATCTGATACTTGATATAATTAACATGGGATTTTTTGTTAGTTAACTGGCAAACACTTTTGACAAATTGATATTCCCTAACCATGGAATAACATTAGGAAGTGACCACTTCTAATAAAAATAAGCCTTTTAAGTTTTATAATCTATACATATGCCAAAATTACCGTGGAGAAAATGGATTTAAAAATAACAGATGCTGTTTTAATCTTGTATGTTAGGAAGTTAAGACTGCCATCTACTGATTTTTTTCTTAAACCTATTAGTTCCTAGAAAGGTGTATGTGCTTTTGACAAATGGCAGTTCATGTTGATAGTAGCTATTTTCCAGGAGCACGGGCCTTTTCAAAATCGTTTTCTGTCCACTAATGCTTCCTCTTGGTGAGATAAAAAATACTTAATAGTAATAGGGTTTAAAGCAGTTCATGCTACCGTGTTGGACTGAACAAGCAAAAACCCTTTATATCCTTAGTTGAATGGAGCCTTCAGAAAACTCGGGTTAGTGAGTCAAGTGGAAGTGAGTTGATAATTTATCATAGTCATGTCTATATCTCACAATTACTCTCCTACTTTAAAAAGCAATTGCAAGCTTTATGGAAAAATGATATTAAGGGGCTAAGAAAGTCAAATGAACTCTTTTGTAGTAGACATATACAAGATGCATGTTCAGTCCTTACACTTTGTTTCTTCTGTACAGCAACAGCGTCAGGCTTGACTTGGTTGTGGAAGGGTCACCCTTTTCATTACTATTTTCAACAGAAATCTTAATATAAAATTGTATTGGTATGAATACATGCAGTGCTGTAGCAGCATCACATACATAAATGCCATCCACCTCAAAGGATATCCCATGTGCAGAAAGGTGTTTCTGTAGAGCTCTTATAAAATACTAGTTTCTGTATTAGGAAGATAATGTTGCCTTATGATGTCTTTGTTTCTATAGGCTTGTTACCACAGCTGATAGGTGTTGCTCCAGAAAAGGCTATTAAGCTAACTGTACGTATCTTTTTTTTTTCCCCCTGGCATCCTTTTGTTTGTTAACTTACACAGGATTTATTTCCTAAAATGTGTGAAAGATGACCACTTACAAGCACTCTAATATATATGGTTACAGATGTACTTGATATATGTTAATAAGGAGGAAAAATAACTTAAAATTGTGTGTAATGTATTATATCTTTATTAGGTTAATGACTTTGTCAGAGACAAATTTACTAAGAAAGATGGTTCCATTCCACTCCCTGCAGAGGTCCTTGCTGGAGGCTGTGTAAGTATCTGTCCTGTATTCCTAGGAAACATTGATTCTCAGTCAGGTGCAGTACAGTTGGAATGACAGTTAATGGGTGTGCTTTCTCAATTTCAGCAGAACTGTTCTTTTTTCTCCCAGTCACAAGAACTAAAAAAAGTACTACTGTTTGGAAAGCTTTGCATACTTCTGAGTTGGGTTCCCTTGGAATTATATGCTTGAACAACTTCTTTTGGCCCAGTTTCTAACTTTCAGTTTCAGCAGTGGTTTTATTCACAAAAGGTTAAAGGAGAGGGTGCCTTTTCTCCCTTTCCATACTTTTGCTTGGGTTGGCATTCATGGTTAGTTTGGAAAGATACAGGTACTCCTTGAGAATGGATTACAGAAATCATGTTCGAGTTTCCTTCGGGGTAGGGGGGAGCTAGAACAGTTTAAAAAATCTATTTATTGCTGAAGATTTTAAGAAGGAAAAGAAATACAATTTTCAACTTGTTATGTGTAAGATTTTTCTGTTTGTGAAAATGGGGAAAAACTGAACAATGTAGTCTTGCCTTTCAGATAACATGTATGAGGGAATTTTCTGTTTAAATGAGTTTGTATAATATGTAGCTACATTACTCCAGACGCTAACTACATCCATCATCTAAATACAGTTCAAAAACAAATTGTGTTTTCGTTGTGATTGAGGGCTGTAATAAAGTGGATTTCTTAGCAAACTGTAAGTGGATTGAATTGATATAGATGATAGATTTCTTTTGGTTTTGCACATTGTCTAATTTCATTTGTGGGATTCCCTGACAGTTGTTAACCCTATAAAATGTTTAAGGCTTGAGTTAGGTTACTTTTGTAGTGGAGAACACTAATAACTTCCAGTTGAGTAGGCTGACAGGCTGGTATAAAACCTCCTCAGCTTACAAGAAAACCTGGGGCAGAAAGGTTGTTGACCTCTGCAAACTTTTAATTCAAAGAAGCAGCCCTGAAGGGAGGCTGCTTATAGTTCTGACTGATTGAATTTGGCAGCCTGGTACTTGCTTGAGTCTTCACCTGTCAGTGTACAGAGTTTATTTTCTGAGAAATGTGAGAAAGCAGCTGTGATGTATAGCTAGCAAAAGACTAACCTTTCTCTGGAAAGCTCACTAACACCAAAAACACATACAGGTAATTTCTAACAGAAGTGAATATAATTCATTAGTGTTTTTCTCTGTGTTGTGGTTAAATTGATAATTAAAATCAAACATCTGATAATAAGTTTTATTATTTTACATTCTTTTGTACTGAAATGTATAATACTAAATTTAATCCACATTAGAGGCTTTTCCACTTCCTGGTAGGTACTGCTTTTTCAAAATAGCTTTATTGTCTTACTGTAGTTAACATGCAAACATTCATTGGGGAGAAATTTGAGTTTCAGATAAGCTTTCAGAAGTTTGGATATTTCTGTGAAGCTGAGCAGATTTATAACCTGTCCAAACACAACACTTTCTTCTAGCTGACTGTCTTAGCTGATATTCTCATCTTCTTCTTCAAGATAATACTTATCTCACTCAATCTGGGAGAATTTTAAACAAAGTTGGCCTTTGTAGGTGAAGAGTTGGCCACAGTTTAGCAACCTCAGGAATGTTCATTTCTTTGTAGCCTCCTCTGGATCTTCTGATATCTTACCAGTTGATGACTTTTCTGTTTGTACGGCTGCTTAGCTCCATTTTAAAAATTTCACTTCTTCCTAAATACCAGAATCTTTATTAGCAAGCCTATAAAGATTATTTTAAAAGTCTGAAAGTATCAGTTGACTAAAGGGGTAGCAAGTTGATATGTTAGTCTTTCTCATCCTCAGTCTTTTTCATCCTAATTGTGACAGCTCTTTTTTATGTTGTCTTGCTTGGAAATCGTGTTGATCTTCGGACTTCTGGTGTTCATTGTGTACTGTTTTTCTACAAAGTATTACAAGACATAACCAACAGTTACATCCTAGGAAGTGCCACAAGTAAGCTTAGTCCATTTCTATGTACAGGGGCATGCAAGACTTTCAGTTTTGGGTCATGCTACCTTTCTTCATGTTTCCTTTATTCCGTTCCTTTGCTCTCTGTTAGTACAAAATGATGCATTACTGTGGGGCTGTTTGGGTTTTATATATGCCAAAATTATTTTCAGCTTCTGGATTTGCGTAGCTTGTTTTTTTGTGGGTTTTCTTTATCGTTTGACACTTAAATAATTTTTTTGCTAATAGTACAGTATAAATACAGGCTAAATGCAAAACATGCTTTTCACCTTGTCCTAACATCAAAAAAACAGCATTATGCCCATATGTAGTTCTCAGGAGATGTACTTATTACTATCTCTGACCATCACTTGCTGTGTTTAGTGTTGAACCTTCTCCTGATTAACAGCAATAATATACTTTTTCATCATTTCTCGTATGGAACTGGTAGTGGATGAGCAAGATGAGCAAGCCATATTTTCAGCCATTTTCTAGAGTTTCCAGCAGAGGCCTTCCTGACCTTTGAAGGCCCACCCTCTTGCTAGCCACACAGAAGCACATTGTGTATGCCACAGTCCTCAAGCAGGAGCAAAAAAAATTCTTCTGAGGAAGTGGAGTCAGCTTGGGAAAGGCTCCAGCAGACCTAGCAAATTCTTCTCTCTGGATGGCAGTGCCATATCAAAGCCATGTATGATGTTACAGTCTTCTAAGTCCCACACATGAGGACTGGTGGTGAAAACTTGGACATTAAGACAGTAGTGATTCAAGAAAACCTGTGTAAGTGGCTCAGTATCCTCAGCTCTGGAGTGTCTGCAAGAAGTGCTATACCATCCAGCAAAGGGGCTGCCCACAGACACGTGCCTCCTCCAGAAATAGTAACTCTGAGAGACTGAATCTCTTTGGCCAAGATCTTACTTCTTGGGCTCCGATTATTCTCAGCTCATGTAAGGTTATGGAATAAACTCTCATTCCCCGTAAGAGGAAATGTCTTCATTTTCATAGCTGTTAACAAAGATATCCGCTCGCACAGTGGCCTGTTTATATGGTCAGCTGCCTGTCTGTTGTCTTTCCTTCCTTACTGCAGGGCAGGGACCTCCCACAGGCAGCCGGTGGCCTGTGCTCCTTGAAACCTACCTGCTAGCCGCTGGGCAATGTAAATGTCATTGGGAAGTGTAGGGTCTGATCTGTCAGAGCTCAAATACTCCCAGCTGCTCCCAAGCTGTAGCTGTATTTGAAAGCTGCATAACAGCTATGTGGGGTAGCTCAGTTACAGCGGTCAGGTCATACCTGTCAATGAAAGGGCTCTGATCCCTGATGGATGAAATTGATATCCCATCTTCCTACCTTCCTGAGAGTATGCTGGTTTGTTAATCGTCAACAGCACTATCCGCAACTTACGCATGTTAGAGCAAACAATTTCTTTCCC